AAGTCTCTTACATTAGTGGTCATTGGGAAGAATGCATTGTTTACTCCCATCTCAATGTGTGGGTAGTTTCCCCTGACTACCGCTGTAGGGCCATGCTCTAATGTAAGGTCTCTGGGAGGGAATTATGCTCATTATATTGGCGATAAGAAGAAAAAATGAGACATGTAAGGGTGCTTTTTCCTCCCTCTAACCACAAATGCAAGCAGTGTTTTTCCCCGCTGACCACCAATGCAAGAAAAATGTCTGTAACTTTGTTGGACATTGGCAAAACAATGCCCTGACATTGGTGTCAGTGAGAAAAAGTATGTCCCCTTGCATTGGTGTCAGTGGAAGGAAGAATGTCCCCTTACATTAGTGTCAGTGGAAGGAAGACTGTCCCCTTACATTGGTGTCAGTGGGAGGAAGAATGTCCCCTTACATTAGTGTCAGTGGAAGGAAGACTGTCCCCTTACATTGGTGTCAGTGGAAGGAAGAATGTCGCCTTACATTGGTGTCAGTGGAAGGAAGAATGTCGCCTTACATTGGTGTCAGTGGAAGGAAGAATGTCGCCTTACATTGGTGTCAGTGGAAGGAAGAATGTCGCCTTACATTGGTGTCAGTGGAAGGAAGAATGTCGCCTTACATTGGTGTCAGTGGAAGGAAGAATGTCGCCTTACATTGGTGTCAGTGGAAGGAAGAATGTCGCCTTACATTGGTGTCAGTGGAAGGAAGAATGTCCTCTTACATTGGTGTCAGTGGAAGGAAGAATGTCACCTTACATTAGTGTCAGTGGAAGAAAGAATTTCCCCTTACATTGGTGTCATTGGAAGGAAGAATGTCCCCTTACATTGGTGTCAGTGGGAGGAAGAATGTCCCCTTACATTGGTGTCAGTGGAAGAAAGAATTTCCCCTTACATTGGTGTCATTGGAAGGAAGAATGTCCCCTTACATTGGTGTCATTGGAAGGAAGAATTTCCCCTTACATTGGTGTCATTGGAAGGAAGAATGTCCTCTTACATTGGTGTCAGTGGAAGGAAGAATTTCCCCTTACATTGGTGTCAGTGGAAAGAAGCATGTCCCCTTACATTGGGGTAACTGGAAGGAAGAATGTCCCCTTATATTGGTGTCAGTGGAAAGAAGAATGTCCCCTTACATTGGGGTCACTGGAAGGAAGAATGTCCCCTTACATTGGTGTTAGTGGAAGGAAGAATGTCCTCTTACATTAGTGTCAGTGGAAGGAAGAATGTCCTCTTACATTGGTGTCAGTGGAAGGAAGAATTTCCCCTTACATTGGTGTCAGTGGAAAGAAGCATGTCCCCTTACATTGGGGTAACTGGAAGGAAGAATGTCCCCTTATATTGGTGTCAGTGGAAAGAAGAATGTCCCCTTACATTGGGGTCACTGGAAGGAAGAATGTCCCCTTACATTGGTGTGAGTAGAAGGAAGAATGTCCCCTTATATTGGTGTCAGTGGAAGGAAGAATTTCCCCTTACAATGGTGTCATTGGAAGGAAGAATGTCCTCTTACATTGGTGTCAGGGGAAGGAAGAATATCCTCTTACATTAGTGTCACTGGAAGGAAGAATATCCTCTTACATTAGTGTCAGTGGAAGGAAGAATATCCTCTTACATTAGTGTCACTGGAAGGAAGAATGTCCTCTTACATTAGTGTCACTGGAAGGGAGAATGTCCCCTTACATTAGTGTCACTGGAAGGAAGAATGTCCTCTTACATTAGTGTCAGTGGAAGGAAGAATGTCCCCTTACATTGGGGTCACTGGAAGGAAGAATGTCCCCTTACATTGGTGTGAGTAGAAGGAAGAATGTCCCCTTATATTGGTGTCAGTAGAGGGAAGAATGTTCCCATACATTTGTGTCAGTGGAAGGAAGTATGTGGAAGGAAGTATGTCCCCTTACATCGGTGTCAGTAGAAGGAAGAATGTTCCCATACATTGGTAGTATTACATATTTATTTATTTTTGCATATAATCTACTTTCAATAAAAGAAAAAGAACCTGATAAGGGTTTAAACCTTTACCTATTCTATCCAAAACTAAAGAAAAACACATTAGCTATAAACATACATACATCCAACGCATTGTCCATATATACTAAATATTTCCAACATTGCACCAATTCATGTACAGCTCGCATATAATGAGCAATGGTAACAGCCTTTGTATCCCACTGGACCACCATCCTTGCTGTCCCTAAACAATCTCCATCCCTTGTTTACTTTGGATGTCTCCATGAAGACAAATCCCAGATGAGGACACAACAAACTTCAATATTTCTATAAAACCTGGCACAATGGGAACATAGAACCTTTATGCTGGCAGTGGAACATGTTTGAATGTTCTCAAATAACATCATCTCCATCAAGTGTTACAAAAATCCTAAATCAGAATAAAAAAATAAAAAAAAGACAACACAAGGAACACATCCAAACTTCTGGTATTCTTCAGGTTCTTGAACAAATGGAAAATGTATCAAAAATCAACACAAATTTTGTTCTCCTTGGCGTTGTTGAGATGGAAAATTTCTGGTATCTGTATGCTACATTGGCCATTATGATTTATGCCATCAGTATGATATTGTCTTCCTTGATTGTCTATGTTGTCTGGTTAGAGGTAAGCCTTCATGAACCTATGTACATCTTCATTAGCAATCTGGTGGCCAATGTGATGTTTGGGAGCTCGTCCGTCCTCCCTAAGCTGGCAATTGACTTGTTCTATGGACTCAACATCATTCCTCTTCCGGGATGCCTCATCCAAGCATTTTGCTATCAAAGCTTTGGCACGATTGAACTTATGACTTTATAGTGTCAGTGGAAGGAAGAATGTCCCCTTACATTGGGGTCACTGGAAGGAAGAATGTCCCCTTACATTGGTGTGAGTAGAAGGAAGAATGTCCCCTTATATTGGTGTCAGTAGAGGGAAGAATGTTCCCATACATTTGTGTCAGTGGAAGGAAGTATGTGGAAGGAAGTATGTCCCCTTACATCGGTGTCAGTAGAAGGAAGAATGTTCCCATACATTGGTAGTATTACATATTTATTTATTTTTGCATATAATCTACTTTCAATAAAAGAAAAAGAACCTGATAAGGGTTTAAACCTTTACCTATTCTATCCAAAACTAAAGAAAAACACATTAGCTATAAACATACATACATCCAACGCATTGTCCATATATACTAAATATTTCCAACATTGCACCAATTCATGTACAGCTCGCATATAATGAGCAATGGTAACAGCCTTTGTATCCCACTGGACCACCATCCTTGCTGTCCCTAAACAATCTCCATCCCTTGTTTACTTTGGATGTCTCCATGAAGACAAATCCCAGATGAGGACACAACAAACTTCAATATTTCTATAAAACCTGGCACAATGGGAACATAGAACCTTTATGCTGGCAGTGGAACATGTTTGAATGTTCTCAAATAACATCATCTCCATCAAGTGTTACAAAAATCCTAAATCAGAATAAAAAAATAAAAAAAAGACAACACAAGGAACACATCCAAACTTCTGGTATTCTTCAGGTTCTTGAACAAATGGAAAATGTATCAAAAATCAACACAAATTTTGTTCTCCTTGGCGTTGTTGAGATGGAAAATTTCTGGTATCTGTATGCTACATTGGCCATTATGATTTATGCCATCAGTATGATATTGTCTTCCTTGATTGTCTATGTTGTCTGGTTAGAGGTAAGCCTTCATGAACCTATGTACATCTTCATTAGCAATCTGGTGGCCAATGTGATGTTTGGGAGCTCGTCCGTCCTCCCTAAGCTGGCAATTGACTTGTTCTATGGACTCAACATCATTCCTCTTCCGGGATGCCTCATCCAAGCATTTTGCTATCAAAGCTTTGGCACGATTGAACTTATGACTTTCACGGCTATGTCCTACGATCGATACTTGGCGGTTGGTCACCCCCTGAGATACCCAACTTTGATGGCAAATGACAGAGCTTTCAAAGTCTTACTGGTTATATCTATTTTTGCTTATGCCAGTATAGGCATTAATGTGATCTTGGCTGCCAGGCTGACAATGTGTGGTGTGTATATTAATGGTGTGTACTGTGAGACCATGTCCCTTCTTCGCCTGGCCTGTGGAGACACGACGGTCAATAACGTTTTCGGGACAACCTGGACAGTGACTGTGGTTGGTAGCTGTATCTTGCTTTCATTTTACTGTTACATACGAACATTTATTGTCTGTCTCCAAATTTCCGCGCAGGCCCATCAGAAAGCCATCCATACGCTGGTCACCCATATAGTCACGTTTTCCACCTTCATGGCCACCAGCCTGTTTGTCATTTTCCGGTACAGGTTAGGCAATGGCTCACTCTCTATTGTTGCCCATGTTGTCATCGCCATAGCTGGTCTGATCATTTCTGTAACTCTAAATCCTCTGGTGTATGGAATAAGGACAGAGGCTCTCAGGATTAAAATTGTTTATTGTTTTCAAAAATACATAGTTACATACATAGTTACATAGTATTTGAGGTTGAATAAAGACATTAATACCGGAAGTCCCATTAAGGTACTTAATGACTCGCCCGGCCCGGCTTCCTGATTATCCTGAAAGCCCTCTCCATGCTCCATTGTCACCAGGTGATGAGGAAGCATGGAGCTGGCTTTCTAGCCAATCAGGAAGCTGGGGGCAGGTAATGACTCGCCCTCTGGCTTCCTGACTGGCCAGCTTCCTGATCAATCAGAAAGCTGGGCGGTGAGTCATTACACGTCCCCCTGCTTTCTGATTGGCTGGGAAGCCAGTTCCATGCGTCCTAGGGTTGAGGGAACATGGAGCTGGCTTCCCGGCCAATCATGAAGCCGGGCAGCGTGTAATGACTCGCCGTCCAGCTTCCTGATACCTAGTATCAGTATCGGTGCATCCCTAACTGGAATGATAACTATCCGTGCTCCTCGCCTCTCTAATACCAGTTCCAAGTTCTCTCTGTGGACTTCAGGACACCCCTCTATGTTATGTAGTCTGTGGACTTCAGAACAACCCCCTATGTTATGGACTCTGGGAACTTCATGACACCCCCCTATGTTATGGACTCTGTGGACTTCAGGACACCCCTCTATGTTATGTAGTCTGTGGACTTCCGAACAACCCTCTATGTTATGGACTCTGTGGACTTCAGGACACCAACCTATGTTATGGACTCTGTGGACTTCAGGACACCCCCCTATGTTATGGACTCTGTGGACTTCAGGACACCCACCTATGTTATGGACTCTGTGGACTTCAGGACACCCCCCTATGTTATGGACTCTGTGGACTTCAGGACACCCCCCTATGTTATGGATTCTGTGAACTTCATTACACCTGTGATGTTTGGGGAATTAGCTGGACCGCAGGACACAGGCTTTCTCAGACAAACTGCATTTATTTTCCACAGCAGCAACAATAAACAGTCATTTCCTTCAGTACAGCAAAACAACTTAAAAGATTGCTTCCTTCCGCATAGAAATAATAAACCGTACCGTTTGCTTCCTTCAGCACAGGAAAGTATAACAGCCTCACCGGCTTGGAGGGCTTCAGTCCACAAGGTTATCACACTCAGCCCACAGGCTCCCAGTAAAGTTCAGCTGCTTCAAAGCACCAGTACTTCCATCTGCTCCACAGCCTTGTCTGCAAACATTAATCTGGGCTTCTCTCTCCCCCTCTGTCTCTAGCTTCCTATCCTTTTGAACACACTTCCTGCAGCAACTGTTAACCCATTTCTGTCCCTTAAAGGGACCACAACCCGAACAAAGGGAAATATACACTTCTCCCAGGACCCATCTTCTTGCGTCCTGTACACACCCCCTATGTTGTGGACTTCAGGCCACCCCCCAATGTTATTGACTCTGTGGACTTCAGGCTACCCCCTATGGCATGTACTCGGTGGACTTCAGAACAAAACCCTATGTTATGGACTCCGTTGACTTCAAAACAACCCCCTATGTTATGGACATGAGAAGGGGGTATCACTTTAAGTGTTGTCACTTTATGACAGGAAATGTATTACTGGCAGGGTCACCAAGATAAACTGAAAAAGAAAACTAGTGCAATCGCCACATCTGGTAGGTTTGCAATGTATTCCATTTAGTTTCTTGGGTTTAGATCATATTTAATTTACTATTTCTTTATGCTGAACTTCTACAATACTGTTTTATAATCTTAATGATAATCTGCTGAAATAGGGATGCAACAATAAATGAAAAAGAATATAAATCTGTCTCTATAACTCTCTCTCGCTCTCTTTTTTTATACCACTGTGTAAGAAAACATCATCTTCACTGAAATCCCTCCACCAGTGTTCTCCTGGTGTAAATAAATCTCATGTTATTATCTCAATGTGAGGATTCTGTGTCTCATTATTGCTATTTAATGTTACCAAGATCGGTCAGTAGACATGTAAGCTGCGGAAAAAGTCGGTTTGGTTCGGATATTTCGTTATTTCGGTATCCGAAATTCAGCCTGTTCATTCAAGATTTCCTCAATGAGGAGAAGCAGTCTGTACAGAGGCTCCTCTCCATTCAGAAACTGTTGATAGTAAATATTTGAATGGGAGGAGCCTCTGTACTGAGTACCTCTATGATGGTGGCACACATTCACAGAACACGCCGGTGGCCAACATGGCCGCCGCACATTCTCAAACAAATTACTATGCGCCTGAATACATGTTACGTATATTCGGACATATTGTAATTCATTCATTTTACACGTAGTCCGGGTTTTATGTTCTGTTTTCTATTTTTACTTTTCTAGATGCACTTACTTGAAGGAAGGGAGCAGCATGAAAACCTGACACTTTATTTTTTATAGACTCTATTGTAGTTGGACATTTATTGCTTGCCTTCTGTTTTATTTGATAAGAATACTTATACAGTATTGTGCCTACAAGTTTAATACCTTTGAATAAAAGTTTTATTTTTATCATACTTTTTAATATGTTTCTTTGCGTCTTAACAAAATAGGAGTCTTTAAATGGTGCGGATATTGCGAAAAATGGGTGCTGCGAGTTGTGGGCGTGTAATCCTAATAGTGGAACGTCATACTAGCGTCCAGCGACATTTAAATAGCCAGCGGCGGCGAAGACGGTGCCTCGCGGCCACCAGCCACTTCTGCGTTCCACTCTGGAGAGCAGGGCACCTCCTCCTAAAGGGGAGGAGTTGCATTGTCCTTCTCCGGCCCGATGCGTTCCACAGTGGAACGCAAACTGTCCCGCAGGCCTCCCCGGAGACCCTTACAACTGCGTCCTGCACTGTATCCTCTGCATACCTCCTAACTTTTTTGAAATGAGAAAGTGAGGATACCTTCCAGAACAATGCATTTAGGCAATGGGCACACCCCTGCCACACTCCTAATAGTATATAAGAAATTAACACACCCCCAAATATAATATAAGCAGTTAACACACTCCTGTCATAGTCCCAGTTATGGAGACCATTAAGTTAATGTATATGGCGAAAATGATTTGTTAAAACTCAGAATTGTTTTTTTCTACACCATTACTTTTACTTCATATTGGCTTTTCAAAATAGCAAACAAGATAATTAAGAGGAGATAATGTTTTAGTGTAGAATAACTTTTTTTGTAGGTAAATAGAACCTTTTCATGGCTATTTCTAAACAGGGACAACTGAGGAGAAAAGAGGGACAGAGGGATTTGGCTCCCAGTGGGGGACAGTTAGGAGGTATGCCTCTGCAGTATACTAATTCTTGTAGTGAAGCCCCAGTCTGTGCTCTGTGTCTCTAGTAAATTTAGGCATAGCATCACTCATTAAAATGATCCTGCTGCTGTCCTAATTTGATCTAATTCCTGAAGTTAAACACCTCTCTGTTCTCTGTCTCTAGTACATTTTGTCCAATTCTCCCACAATAAAATGATCCTGCTGCTGGCCAGTTTTACACTGCTGTGCTGGCTGTGGCCTCTTAATGCTTGTAGTAAAACACCTGCCTATACTATATTTCTCTAGTACCTTTCAGACAATTTTCCCTCATTAAAATTGTCCTGCTGCTACCGAATTTTACACTGCTGTATCATCTAAGGTCTCATAATCCTTAATGAGAGTTTGATAGATATTGACCAGTGACAGAACCGTTGGCGTAACTACTGCCATAGCGATCCACATGGTTGCTATGGGGCCCGGGGCAAAGGGGGGACCCGGTCAGGAGGCCGAGCCCCAGCATCAGAGGTGGAGGAGGATGAGGTTGGGGCCTGGCGGCAGTGGGGGAGGGGGCCAGGGCCCAGCAGCGCCAGTTCAGTTCTGGGTCTCAGGTGGACTGTGCAGGGTCTCAGGTGGGCTCTGCGGGGTCTCAGGTGGGCTGTGCACGGTCTCTGGTATGTGCGGGGTTTCAGGTGGGCTCTGCAGGATCTCTGGTGGGTGCTGTGAGGTCTATGGTGGGTTGTGCGATGTCTTAGGTAGGCTCTGCAGGGTCTCTGGTATGTGGAGGGTCTCAGGTGGCTTATGCAGTATCTATGGTGGGCTTTGCAGGGTCTTAGGTGGGTTCTGCAGGGTCTCTGGTATGTGTGGGTTCTCAGGTGGGCTCTGCAGGGTCCCAGGTGGGCTCTGCAGGGTCCCAGGTGGGCTCTGCAGGGTCCCAGGTGGGCTCTGTGGGGTCTCATTTGGGCTGTGCAGGATCACTCAGGTGTGCTGTGCAGGGTCTCTGGTATGTGTGGGGTCTCAGCTGGGCTCTGCAGGATCTCAGGTGAGCACTGTGGGGTCTATGGTGGTCTGCGTGGGGTCTCAGGTGGTCTTCATGGTCTATGGTGGGCTCTGCAGGGTCACTCTCACGTTAGCTGTGTGGGGTCTCAGGTGGACTCTTCAGGGTGTCTGGTATTTGCGAGGTCTCAGGTGGACTCTGTGGGGTCTTAGGTGGGCTCTGTGGGGTCTCAGGTTGGCTCTGCAGGGTCTCGGGTGGGCTCTGAAGGGTCAATGGTGGGCTCTATGGTGGGATCTGCAAGGTCTCAGGTAGGCTCTGCAGAGTCACTCTCAGGTGGTCTTTGTGGGGTTTCAGGTGGGCTGTGCAGGGTCTCTGGTGGGCTGTGCAGGGTGTATGGTGGGCTCTGCAGGGTCTCAGGTGGGCTCTGCAGGGTCACTCTCAGGTGGGCTGTGCATGGTCTATGGTAGGCTATGCGATCTTCTGTTTGTATTGGTGACACCAAAAAGTGGAGACAAAAAAAAGCCGAACCTTATACGTTCCACGCAAAACTCCAAAAAGTGGCTGGACAAAATTATTGGCACCTTCTCCAAATTGCATTCCAACTTTTTGTGGAAAAGCATGGACAATCTCAAGGTTACAGGTCCATCTCCAGAGATCTTAATGTTCCTGTGTTGTTGATGGAATCTCAGCATATATATCGACACGAGGCGATGGTATATTTGAAAAGATTAACATTTGTTTTATTCGTGCACGGGAAAACTCAATACAGACAATCAAAAAAGTTCGGACTCGTTCCTCACTTTAGTCTCGTAAGAGTCTTCAACCCCCCTCCCCCCTGTCTCGATGTTTTATACAAGTCTTTAGTACATCCTGTGTTGAGTCACTTCAGTCATGAGGGGAGGAGAACTTCCTTAATTCTGTTTTCCGTGTATTGTCTGCTCAGGAAGCAGTTTTAAGCTTGGTTTAACTCGAGAAAACACACACGTTAGTAATATATAAATTTAAACATATTAATCAGTTCATCAATACAACAAATAATATTCACAGTGTCCACTGTGCGCAACATTGTCAAGAAGTTTACAGCCCTCGGCACTGTAGCTAAACCAGTTCTGAATCCCATAGAGCTCCTGTGGAGGGAAAAGGAACCCGTCCAAACTGAGAGCCCCGGAGCAGTTGGTGAAAGAAGAGTGGTCTGAAATTCCTGTAGAGAGGTGTAAGAAACTCATTGATGGTTACAGGAAGCCATTGATTTCAGTTGTTTTTCCCAAGGGCTGGGCTACCAAATATTAATTGAGGTGCCAATAATTTAACCTAGTCCATTTTTGGAGTTTTGTCTGCAATGTTTCAGGTTTGGCTTTTCTTTTCTCCATTTTTTTTGTGTCATACCAACACAAACACAAAAAATAAACATGAGAATGCCGAAACATTTGTACTTGCAACAATTATCTGCGCAAAGTGGTGCATTATCTGACAGAAATGCCGGGGGGGCAATATTTTTGGCCATGACTGTGTATATGTATATATATATATATATATTGTGACAGGGTACAAGACTCTGTGTATGTCAGTGAGAGGTTGAAAAGGGCAGCTTTCCCTGGCTAGGAAAGGGTTAAGCCTGGCCCAACAGGTAAACCTCCTCTCTTTCTCTCTCTCTATACATATACATATATATAATTAGGGCTGTGGAAATTAACGATTAATCGTTAATTTTTTTGATCGATTAAAATTTTTTTGATCGGTACTCACCTCTCCGCCGGCTTCCGGGTCTTCTGGGAGTTCCGTCGGAGATCCGGTGACTTCACGGACATCGACGTTACCGGACTCCCTTACCCAAGTGGCTCCGTCGGCTAACGAAAGGAAGGGGGGAGGAGTCCGGTGATGTCGATGTCCGTGACGGCTAACGAAGGGAAGGGGGGAGGAGTCCGGTGAAGGTACAACTGGATCTGCCTCTAGATAGGCAGAGCCAGCTGTCACTCACGCAGCTGGGCGGATCTCGACGTATATGTCGGGATCCGCTCCAGCTGTGGCGTCTCAGTATATGGTGAGCTACAGCTCGCGGTATACTGAGCCTAGGGTGACGGGAGGACGCTAGTTTGTGTCCTCCCGTTACCCTAAGGAGAACTGTGGGGAAAAGACTTAACCCCATAGTTCTCCTTTAATAACCAACCGGGCCATATACACACGGAAGAGAGCAGCTTCCAGGGGACATTCACCTTTCCATTTTTGTAACCCTCCCCTTTCAATAAAACCTGAACGTGTTCATTTTTTTAAATTTACCTTTTTTTTTAAATTTCTTTGTGTGGCCCGGTCCCCATTACCATTGTCGCTTAGACAATAATTCTGTATGTGAGTTATAATTAATCGAAATTAATCGATGAATTTTTTTCCGATTAATCGAACACAAAAATGTTAATCAGTAACAGCCCTAATATATATATCGATAGATTAGATAGATATATATATAGATTAGATAGACTTATGGTGCACTGACATGTTTACTAGCTTGTTGTCACAGGTGAGCTTTATGAACAGTAACAAGCTGATGGTCCCACTGGGTAAAAGACTTCTGCAACTTCTGCACTAATTTCATCCCTTGGAACCAAGAACACAGCCAGCTATGACTATAAAAGTACATCCGAGTCGCACACTGGAGGCTCTGAGAGCTGGAATGATTGAATGAAGCGTCACACTGAAAAAGGAAAGCAAAGCTCCAACATGGTGACGTGAAAAATAATGTTCTATTGCCAAATTCGGCAAGAAATTTAAGGACACCGTTTTCTCTTGAAATGGAGAATGTGTCCAAGGTCAATACCAACTTTGTTCTCGTTGGACTTGTGGAGATGGAAAACCTCAAATATCTTTATTCACTTGCATATCTCATCATTTATGTAACAACGCTGATTTTATGCTCCGCTATTATCCTGTTTGTCTGGTTAGAAGAAAAACTTCATGAACCCATGTACATTTTTATAGGCAATTTGGTGCTCAACGCCATGGTGGGAAGCTCAGCCGTTTTCCCCAAGCTAGTGGTGGACCTGCTCATTGGGTTTACCAGCATCCAAATCACTAATTGCCTCTTCCAGTCATTCTTTATTGAGACGTTTGCCTACGTCGAGATTTTGACTTTCACCATCATGGCCTACGATCGATATTTGGCTGTGGGTCACCCGTTGCAGTACCCTGTTCTGATGACCAATGGGAAGGCTGTGAAAAGCCTAGCGGTCATCTGGATCATCATTTTCACAAACCGGATCATAGGTGTAGTGTTGACAGCCAGACTTCCCCTGTGTGGGATTAAGATAAACAGTGTGTACTGCGAGACCATGTCCCTTACTCGCCTGGCCTGTGGAGACACCACCGTCAACGCTATCTACGGTACCACCGGCACGCAACTCATTGTAATACTTTCAATGCTCATTGTGGTTTACTGTTACATTAGAACATTCCTCATTTGCCTGAAGATCTCCACTGAAGCCTATCAGAAAGCCATCCATACCTTGGTGACCCACATAGTGGCCTTTTCAACATACATGGCCGCCACGCTCTTTGTTGCCTTCAGATACAGGTTAAACATCGGTTCTGTCTCGACCGTTGCTCACACTGTCATCTCCATGACCGGTCTGACGGTTTCTGTCACTTTCAATCCCGTGATCTACGGAGTAAGAACTGAAGCACTGAGAATTAAAATGGTTAACGGAATTAAAAGAATCCACATTCTGACTAAGAAAAAATAAATTGTTTTATAAAGCTGTTGCCTTAAAGAATTCATATAAAAGGTATTAAGTGTATTTATTTATTGATTTGGTTGGGCCGTGATATTTTTAAAGTTGAAATACGTTGGTATGGCTATTGTGTAATCTCTAAGAACCCGATTTATACATTCAATTCATATTACATTCAACTGACCTCTGAACTCTGCAATACATACTATGGACCTCTGCACTGTGCATTACATTCAACTGACCTCTGCTCTGTGCATTGCATACTACTGACCTCTAAATTCAGCATTTCTTAATCATGACCTCTGCACTGTGCATTGCATACTACTGACTTCTGAACTTTACATTACTTACTACTGACTACTGCACTGTACATTACATACTACTGACCTCTGGACTCTGCATTACTTACTATGGACCTCTGCATTGTGCATTGCATACTACTGACTTCTAAACTCTGCATTACTTACTAATGACTACTGCACTATACATTACATGCTACTAAACTCTGAAGTCTGCATTACATATTACAGACCTGTAACATTGCATACTACTGACCTCTAAATGTAGCATTTCTTACTCATGACCTCTGCACTGTGCATGTCATTCTAAACTCTACGTTACTTACTACTGACTACTGCACTATGCATTACATACTACTGACCTCTGAACACTGCAGTACATACTCCTGAGCCACCTACTGTGCTTTACTTACTACTGAGTACTGCACTGTGTGTTACTTGTAGTAATGACCTCTGAACCCTGGTGATATGTGATCTCTTTCATCTTATTTAGGTGGATCTCCTGCCTTAGGCCTTGTATGTACAGGCTTTAGCTTGTATGAGAGCACCTAGCTTCTAAATACAATTTGGCAGTCTTCAGGGAGCCTTGTTTAGCAACCTTCAGACCCAGTTTGAGAATGTTAAAAGCAGATCTTAATGGGATTGGTGGGTGTCACTTAAACAAGCTGCTAGAAGGCTTGGAAGTGTATGTCTTGAAAAAAATATCAAAACATTTGCGGAATTTCCTTGTGGTTTTATCTCTTTATAATACTGAAAGTACAGAAAAATGTACTGCCAGAAAACTAGTGAGCTCCTAACTTCCTTTTTGAACTTCTGCTGCACTGAAATCTGAAAAAGTGTTCCGGACCTGCCTGTTACCTTCTGCTGGACTACAGAGCATCATCCTCCCCTCATCTCTATAACATGAGGGTGTGTTCTACAACCCCCAGATGAGAACAGGGCAGGGTGGACACCACCGCTTGGGACTTAGAGGCAGCAGAGACAATGTTGTCAGATCACTACCGCAATAAAGGAGCTCAATGAGTTTCTGCCATTATCAACAAGTATTTTCCTGCACTGACAGCATTTGTAATGATTTAAAACATTAGAAATATGTTGTAGACATGTGCGATTCGTCTCGTCCCGAAATTCGGACACATCTGAATTTCCGAATACCAATGCATCCGAATGTGTCAGAATCCGAATTTCCATTTCCCGTCCGAATTTCATTCAAAAACTAATCTGAATCTGACAATCAGATGTGTTTTTCGGTTTAATGCATCTGAATGGGTCTGAACACGAAATTTCGTCACGGCCACATGGGAGTCATATATATATATACATACATATAATACTAAAGCTGAGGCTCCTAGACACAAATGGCATTCGGGATCCAAATTTCCGAATAGCATTCAGGAGCTCCTGAATGCTATTCGGAAATTTGGATCCCGAATGCCATTCAGGTCTGGGAGCCTTAGCTTTAGTAATATATGTATATGGCTCCCAGACCTGAATGGCATTCGAGAGCTCCCACAATGCAATTCAGAAATTCGGATCCCGAATGCCATTCAGGTCTGGGAGCCTTAGCTTTAGTAATATATGTATATGGCTCCCAGACCTGAATGGCATTCGGGAACTCCCACAATGCAATTCAGAAATTCGGATCCCGAATGCCATTCGGGTCTGGGAGCCATATACAGTATATATACATATACTGTATTACTAAAGCTGAGGTTCCCAGACCCCAATGGCATTCGGGAGCTCCCGAATGCAATTCCGAAATTTGGATCCCGAATGCCATTCGGGTCTAGAAGCCTCAGCTTTAGTATTATATGTATATGGCTCCCAGACCCGAATGACATTCAGAATTTTGTATAGCATTAAAAAAAGATAGATATTCTTTTTTATCATTTTTATTATGTAGCGCTCACCCACGAAGGAGCCGGTAGATAAACAAGTCTTCCATCGCCTGTCTAGGGATTTAAGCAATCAGCTGCACCAATAGCATCTAGCACCCTTGACCGACAAGACTGAGATCCAAACTGTAGGTATATTGCTGATGGAACTTTATTGGAAAACTTTATAAGAAAGGGTTTAGGGCTTAGGACATCCATGTCAAAAATAGAACAGAACAGAACTCCAGACTCACCGGTACCTTTCAGTATTCCACAGTACAGAAACAATGGGAGAACACGTTGACACCGGGTATTAGAGCAACAGCTGAACAGGAATAGGCATGAGATCTTCAGTAGGAGCGGCACTAGACTTGCCCTTGAGGTCTATCCCAGTACCAGACACCTCCAGCAGTGAGTTACAATTATGTACATTCCAACCAGGTTTTTATGAGACACGAACATGCAATTTTTATATTTCAACCCCTTGCTGACTGGAGTGTTTACACCCCCTTCCTGTCCAGGCCATTTTTCAGTATTCAGCGCTGCGGTACTTTGGCTGACGTTTATTCCGTCATGCAGCGCTGTACTGAAATTAATTTTATACCATTTTTGGGGACAGATAGAGCTTTCTATTGGTGGTATTTATTCACCACTGCGGGTTTTATTTTTTACTATATAACAAAAAAAGTACTGAAAATTTTTAAACAAAGTGGTTTTCCCTTTATTGTTTTATGAAAAATTTATTTTTACCCAATTTTTGGGTAAAATATAAAAGATGGGGTCAAGTTGGGTAAATAGACACCAAACATGTCAAGCATTAAAATTGCGAGCGCCCGCGAAATCGCAAAAAAACACCATAGCCAAAATTGGTCATAGGCGACGCTTTAAAAGATTTTACCGCTCATCAGTTTAGTGTTATCAGTGATTGATGGCCCTAAAATTATTGCTCTCATTGCGATGTTCGCAGCACTATGTAACACGTGCAGCATAATTGTAGCAATCGTCGTTTTTGCGTGTAGGCTCCACTAACGCATTTTTGCGCATCTTTGTGGGGGACTTTAAAACATTTTTGTGGGTTTTTGTTTTGTTTTGTGTGTACATTTTTATTTCTTTTGTGAGCAATTTTTTTTGACTTTTTTTACACTTAACTTTATTGTTATCACATAGGGTGCTAAGAAGTACCCTATGTGATAACAAATTACAGTGACAGGTCCCCTTTATGGAGACATCAGGAGTCTCTAAGACCCCTAATGTCACCTAGGGACCACCAGAGAAGCTGATGAAGCATAGGTCTGCTTCATCATCTTCTCTCTGGTTTCTGTACCGGAGAGTGACAGAGGAATGCGGAAGTGATGTAATATACATCACTTCCTGCATTCAGAGGCCGGGAGGAGAGCGGAGGGAGATCGGGTATTGAACTCCCTCCGTTCTCAGTGCACAGAGCCGCCACATCGCCCGGGTTGGATGGACGCCCGGGATGAATGGACGTCCGGGATCGCGGGGATGGCGGCGGTGGGGACAGAGACGGCGACCAGAGGTAAGAAGGGGGGGGCGCACCCTCACTTGAATCATACAAGCGATCGGGCGTTTTTACAGACGCCGGATCGCTTGTATGTAAACGGCCATCGCTGGGCGAGTGAGCACGAAGGACGTCTAAAGACGCCCACCCGCATCCAGGAGACTCCCGTCGATCGGCGGACGGGAGGTGGTTAATACACATTTTGTAATTCGAACTAAGTAATTTTTTATACATGATAGTGTAATATTGTAATATAGCATCACCCGATGTCTGTATATATTCTCTGATTATTCTGTCATTTATATATTTTTGATTATCATGTCGATATGTGGGACACAGCCTACCGGCACTTCAGGTGGGCAGTGTCCGTATTGTGTGTGAAGGATAGATTGATTAATTGTGCAATAAAAGTTCCGGTGGGAGAAACGAGAGCAAAATACCCTTTTGAGAGAGTCCAGAAACGACAAAACGTTTCAAGGGTGATACCGTCTCCGTCTCGTATAGACTGTGCGTCTTGTATGGCTGAGTGTCCCTACCACTCAATGCTTTTAAAATCATTTTTCGAAAAAGTGCGAAAATTTTAATTCTAAATAAATGTTTTTAAATTACTTTTTGCTTTTTCCCCTTCTTCCTGTGTTTGAAAACACCGGTGGACGGATATCGCTGTATATGAGGGGCGAGAAGAGTTAACCTGGAGGGGAAGGAGAAAGCGGTATCCAACCCGGCTTTTTAGATACAGACTGTGGAAATGGACGACTCACTATGATCTTAAGTGATTACTGAAGAGACTTTTCCCGGAACCAATCCATTATCAAACATGTAACCAGGGCCCTCCTTACCATCTTGTCTTGAATTGTATTGTGATTGTAATGTCTTCCTTATATTGTAAAGCGCTGCGCAAAATGTTGGCGCTCTATAAATCCTGTACAATAATAACCCTATGTGAAATCCAGGAGGGAAGATAAGTAACAACATCCCCCACATATTACTACCCATAGTCGGGTGACGTAGAGGACTGTTGGAACATTATTTGCGAGGGTATTTGAATTGTATAGATATAGGAGTGACCCTTTTGCAATGTTGAGCGCACTCCAGATCTGTGGTTGCCTATGGGCGCCGATCCAGTTTGAAGATCCCGGCATTGAATTAAAGCATCCAGTATCTTGGGAGGGTGCAAGGGCAGGTCCCTTTTACGGTCCCATCCATAATTGAGCATATATTTTTCATATGTGATTGTAGACTCACGGTATATAATATATTTGGCACAAAATTGATCACATACAAATATAATTTATTTTAGACACCATCACGAATTTATAT